CAACTCTCACAAGATCGCTCAACTTTTACAAAGATCGCTCAACTTTACAAAGATCGCTCAACTTTACAAAGATTGCTCAACTTTACAAAGATCGCTCAACTCTCAAAAGATTGCTCAACTTTGAGATCGCTCAAGTGAGTTTGCGCGAAATTAGTAATCGGGCAAGTCTAGATCGCGCACGGACGAAATAGCTCAAGACCTAAATCGCGCAGGAGGATTGCTCAAACTGTAAGGAAATAGCGCAAGTCCAAAATCGCGCAATGAATGTTGTGTGAAGCTTGAAATCGCGCAGGAGTCCTTTTTGCGCTAAACATGTTCTTCTTTCCAGACGAGTTGCGCGAAACTGCAGGATCGCTCAACTCTCGCTTAACCTGTACGCCAACTTTCTGGGTGCGAATTTTCACAGAATGAATCCTTGCAAACCTAGAAACACTTCCCTGTAAACATTTTCCTGCAAAAATATCAACAAAAACAGAAAAGAAGATCGCTCAAGTGCAAAACTTCATCGATGAAGAATCACGCAAGAGTATTTTCCAGCCTTCAATCAATCGATCAGCTCCGGCTCTGATACCAGATGTTAGGTCCCTGTTTTCTATTCTATAATGTATGAGATTTGATCAGTATGAATAGAAGAAGCTTTCCATTGAATGAGATGAAGTTTTACAGAATGATATGAAAGGTAGCGTAAAAACTTCTATCACCGAAATAGCACTGCGGCTCTAGGGTATGAGAATATCAGGGAAAGCTTAACCTACTCATTCTCCTAAGGGGCATATTTATAGCCTTGGAGAATGGTAGGTTAACAAATGATTGGGCTCCAACTTTAAAGAGGCCCATTCCTATTTAGGCAAAAGAGCCTTTACCAAATAAAGCCTATTTTATGGATAAATAAATTATTACAAAAAGGCTAAGTAACATTGATCACAATATAATGAAAATATCTCTAACAAGGGCTTTACACACAACTTCACACATGGCGTTAGACACGGCTTCAGACACCGCTTTACTCAGATCATGGCTTTATACATGGCTTCAAACATGATGTTGCACGCGTCTTCACACATGGCCATGCGTGAAGCCGTATTTAAAGTTGTGTTTGGTCCAGTGTGTGAAGCCATGTCTAAAGCCATGTCAAGACAAAACCACCATCCCTCTGTCTGAACCCGTGTGTAAAGCCCTGTCTGAACGGGTATGAAGCCATGTTTGAAGTCTTATGGACTTTTTAAAAAAGTTCCTTTAAAAGTTCATACTTTTTTAAAAATCTATGGATTTTTTTTTTCCAGATTTTTCTTTCAAAGTATCGAACCAACATTTATAAAAAACATGGAATTGTGTTTTTTATAATTTTGCGAAATTTGACCGGCACGGAGAATAATAAAGAAAAAACTGTGTGGTTGAGATTTGTGCAGAGGAAAAAGAAATGCTCCCTCTGTCTCTAATAACTTCGCCAAGTTTGACCGACACGAGATTTATAAAGTAAAAACTGTGTGATTGAGATTTGTGCAGATGAGAGAGAATTAACTGGAACCACAAACTCTTTACTTAAAAGGGAAAATGACAAAGTTAATGAGACATCCAAAAAGGTAAAGTTGACAAAGTTATAAGGGACAAATGTAGTAATATGATCCACAAAATAATTGATTAAAAAGAAAAATAACAAAGTTTTTTGGGACCTCCCAACAAAAAGATGGCAAAATATTTAAGAGGCTAAGAGAGTGTTACAATGTTCACCCAAACTACACAAAATCTGAAGCATTCTCATTAGAATTTGACAATAACTCCAATTTGGTCTTTTTTTGGTACAACATAACACCAAATGTAGCCTGTTGAGTGTACGTAGTTTGGGCACCTGATCTCATACGTTAGTTTAATTTGCCCCTGATCCCTCATATGTGGAGGTAATCAAGTGTTATTTCATCATCTAAAAAACTATCAGAACACCAACTTCTACAATCCTTTTGTCCCATATCAAGAGGCCGAAACTCTACACCATGAATGACAAGAGACAAGTTATCCCAAGGGAAACCAACAGATGCTTCAAATTCCATTTCATCATTATCTTGTGTTACTACAGTGTTGCTGAAAAAGGATTTTATTTCTATCTCTTCACAACCCTCTTGTCGAACCCTAGTGGCAGAATATCCAATCACAGGGACATTCCCAAATGAGTCAATAGTAAAGCTCGAATCGCTTGATTCGGAAGCGTACCATGGATCTTCTATTCCATACATCAAATAACAACAATAATCCGTTTTCTGGGATAGTAACAATTTTTTTGTCATGTTCAAGTGAACGTTAAACACACCATGATAAAACTCCAATTCGACTACCTCCTTAAACCTGTGCACAAAAAAATATTCATGTGAGAAATAAGAGTAAAACATTGACAAAGTTCTAAAATAGGAACAAAATACTTTCCCAATATGACTTATTTAGTCCTCATAAAAGAATAAAACAAGAGCTTCTCAAAATAAGAGCAATGAGTAATATATTTGGAAGAAAATAAAACTCTGTATCGACACTACTCTATGCTACTATGTTTTACTTCTATAAATGTAAGTTTCTTTTTTCGTTAAGGGTGATTTTGTCAGGACTTCTTTTGCTTCTACCAATAGACATTACTATTTGTGCATTACTGCATTAGTGCATTGATTTGCTCACTTTGTTTCTGAATAGACATTAATTTGCTCACATAGGAGATATATATATTTATCCTTCCATCCTAAACTATTTGCTAGAAGTAAAAATGTTGAAGTATTTGGTTAATCCATCCAATTTTTGACGCGATTTTCACTATGGGTCATCCGGAAACAGTCTCTCTGTGCTTTAGTACATGGGTAAGACTGTGTACATCTGACCCCCCTAACCCCACGTAAGTGGGAGCCTTTGCGGCACAGAGGTAAATGAAAATGAAAATGAAATGAATAAAACACTATATCAAGATCATGAACTACTTCTTCTATCAAGTTAACTTTTTAAATGAAATCTTAAATCATAATAGAAAAAAGATTGTTTGGATTATGAATGACGTGAAGTCATGATACGGAATCGTGAATTTTAGCACCATAAATGGTAAAAATGGTGGAGTGTCAATGGGGTGTTTGGCAACAAGCCTTTCAACCAAATTTTGACTAATTTGACCAATATCAGCCATTCCACCATGTTATCGGCCAATTTGAGTGTTTGGCGACTAGCTTGAAAGCGGCTTTTATTACCCCTAAACGACCAAAATAAAAAACGTTAAATATTGTGGCGTATTGATCTCATCCATTTAATTTCAAGAAAAGTCCAATCTGACGCCAAGAAGGACATAGGTTCGAAACTCATCCCAATCAAAGATGTTAATATTTAACAGAATGGATACTATGATTAAAATATAAGGTACATCAAAAAAGAAGTCTAATCTAACCCTGTAACTACTTCACGTAATTAAATTGTATCCCTACTCGAATTTGATGTTTTATACTCCCTCTGCCCCCCTTATATTGTCCCGTTTTACCTTTTCGGAAAGTCCCACTGAAATTGTCTCATACCATATTTAGTGAAGTTTGTGTGGTTCTAAATCATTTAAACTTTATTCTTACTTTATCAATTAATATCAACCACACAAACTCACTTTTCTTAATAATCATGTCACCATCTTCCGTCGCACAATATAAAAGGGACGGAGGTAGTGATTTTCTTTTTTGAAAGTTAGATGCACGGCGTTTGAGGTTTACTTTTCTTGTTAGCAAAAATGATTTATACGGAATGTTTAGTAATTAAGTATATAGGGGTGAGATCTCATATTAACTAGTTCTCCCATGCTAACTTGTGAAAACTCCGACAACCGGTGGTATTTTTGGCTCAAAGTTTTTTTGTATGTTCCTCATCAAGTCTAGTTCATCTATACCAAATTTGAGCAAAAAATTCAATCGGGAAGGTCATCAAATGATTTTTGAAAGAAAACTGGTCCGGAAAATACATATAAAATGCAGTTTTCTTTCAAAAATCATTTGATGACCTTCCCGATTGAATTTTTTGCTCAAATTTGGTATATATGAACTAGACTTGATGAGGAACATACACAAAAACTTTGAGCCAAAAATACCACCGGTTGTCGGAGTTTTCACGAGTTTGCATTTTAAGCATGGTTTGCATTTGATCTCTTACCTAAGTATATATTAGTAAGTAGTAACAAATTAAAGACTACTGATCGGTTGTAAAGTTTAATAAATTAAATACTACAGTCGTTCCTAAATAAATGCAACAGTCAACATTTCACATTTGTCGAGGCATAACTTTGACCATTAATATATATAACTCTCTATTAGCAAAAAGTTAAAAAAAATCAGATTTTGAAAAGTCACAATGAGACAAATTCAGTAATATTTTTTCCAAAAAAATATATTAATACATCAATAAATAAAATGTAGTCAAAGTAGAACATGTGAATAGTATAAAATTTGCAATGTTTCACTTATTTAAGAACTGAGGTAATAGCATTTTAATAAATTTTGATCCTAAGGAAATTGAAAACATTAACCAAATTTATTAATTCGGAAAAAATGTTTAAAATAATTACTACTGGTGCTACTACATTTTATATTTTTAAATTCATAAAAACATTCTATGTAGTTGTACTAATTATATTAAAAAAAATTAATTAATGTTTTTAAAAAATCATTTAACAAGTTATTAGATGGTTGAAAAGAGACATTTTAACAAATGTCATTTTACAAACTGCTAATCTTATCAGCTAACCAAAACAGTTAATAGAATCTGCTCTTGTCAATCAGCTAACCTGATCCGCCAACACCCAACAACCAATTGCCAAACACCCCAATGAATAAGAGCAACGAAAATGACTTTGTTTACATTGAGTTGATTTAGGATTTTAGGATACATGGAGGGTGTTTGGAACTGATTCTGCTTCTACTTCTTTTTTAAAGCAGAAGCAGAATCAGAATCAGTTTTCGGAAGATGGTCTCCCTCAGCTTTAAAAAAAACTCATTCTAGGAGTAAATTAGAACACCAGAATCACAACTTCTGCTCTTTCAAAAAAGAAAAAGCAGTTTTAAGAATCAGATCCAAACACCCCATACTTTAATATCTAAATCTATATGTAGTCATACTACGTATTATATTTTGGTAGGGGACTAAGGGACCAACAAATTGATGATAGATGCATGTGACTGTGTGAGAAACCTGGCCGTCGGTTCAGGTCTCCTTCTCAAGTGCGGTGAAATATTTGTCCCATTGAACATTAGTTCGGATGGTGCAACCATTACACATTTCTTGCCTGTTTGCTTGTCCAAACGAAGGATCTGTTTTCAAGATTCAAAATAAGCTCACACATTAAATTTAATTAAAAATGGTATTAAAAATACTATCTCTATCTATATATTTAAAAATGAGACGAATTTAAATACCCCATCCGTCGCAAAAAGATTGATTAATTTAATTTTTCTTTATCAATAGTGGTCAAATGTGAGAAATGATATCTTTTAATAAAGAATTATTTAAAACATGAAAACTATATGAGCATATTCTTTATTAAAACAACATTCAATAAAGTATAAAATATATAAGTTACACACAAATATAATAACTGAATCATTATTGTCTATACTTTAACGTCATTAACCAAAAAAAATCAAATTAACCAATCTTTTTGGGACGGAGTGAGTATTTAAATTCATCTCATTTTAAATTTTGAAAATGTAACTTTTTAAATTTTTTGCACACATGAAATTAAATATATTAATGTCAAAGTTGTGCGGCATTAAAAAATGTGAAAATGGAAGCATTGCAACTAAAAAAGAACGAAGTATGTTCCAAAATAATGGTTCTATTAGGGGAGTACTTCTTTTATGCGTCGTCCTTAAATAAAGGTTACCCTTCTGTTTTAAGAGATGATCGTAAGTATCATTCATACTTTACATATCCCTATACTTAAACTTAATAGAAAATTAGGAGTATTACGACTAAAAGTGATGATGAATTCTAAAATATGAAAATATGAATAATAAAAAATAATCTAAATAAACTGATTAAATAAAAAGTTTACGGTAAATGTTTTTTATTTCTAGGATAATGGTATTTTACATGTATAGTAAATATGTTGATGCTACTTTTACGTCCTCCAATTTAATTAGTATTCATGATACCTTTTTGCCTTCATCAAGGATGAAACAAAAACCGGAGAGGCTAAGGAATTGATGCTTCTTGGTGGGTGGTAACTCAAAAGGCAGTGGAGTGGATGATTTGGAAATGATGTCGTCAATATCCGACGGCACAAATTTGTTCCAAGCAATATCGGAGTCGGATGCTGATTTGAAACGCTTAGAGATGATAGAACAAGTCGATACATCCACCGGCGAAGTTAAGGAAAGAATTTCAGAGATGCAATCCTCTGGCAATTTTGCAAAGTTGTCCATTTACTCGTTTTGATTTATGAAAGCAGCAAAAGGGCATACGAAGTGTTTATATTATTGCAAAAAAACGACTCTTAAGATACCACTCCTTAATTATTCTACGGCAAATTCATGTTTCTTTGGATTATACGGAGTATATAAAAATTGTGTGCTACTTTAATTCTTATTATATTCAATTTTACACTAATCACTTGTTCTACTTTGATAACGTTTTTCTATTAAAGTATTAATAATTTTTTCAAAAAAATGTTGTTAACTTTATGTCATTGGAAATTTTCAAAACTAGATTTTTTAATTTTTTATTAATAGAGAATTATATTTATTAATTAATGGTCAAAGTTTTACATTGAGATGACAAATGCGAAAAGGTTTTTTTTACAAATATTAATTAATAGATACCCCAATACGGACTGAAATGTCTACTTTTATGCTCTGTTTGGATAAAGTGAATTTAAGTAAACCTAGTGCAATAAAGTAAAAATAAGTTTTAATAGAAACTAGGTTAACCTAAGCGAACCTAGGTCCATGCGTAAAGTAGTGTTTGGAAATAAATAAGATAAACCTAGGTTAATGTAATAAATGTTGTTTGGATGAAGGTACTCTAGCTCATTTTATGTTAAACGAGAACTTAACCTCCCAAACCCCCCGATTTGGAGGTTCTTCAATTTAAGGTTTTTCCAGGTTCTCGGGAGTTAAGTGAGGTTAACCCATAACCTAGGTTCTTGTTGCAAAAATACAAACAAACGAGGTTAACTAAAAAATGAACCTGCAATAACCTAGGTTAACCCCCAACCAAACAGGCCATTAGGGTTCTCCTTGCACCGATTTTTTGTGTGGCTTTCCTTCCGCCGATTATTCGTGCGGCTTTTATTCAATTCACTGGGCTTCTGGAGTGCTTTCGATACAGATTATTGGTTCTTTGATTTTGGGATTTAGTTTTTGGAAACGAATCCAAGGTTTAAGAAAGGATAGCAATGACTTCTATGGATGATCTAAAGCAGCATTATCACATTCCAATAATTGAGAAGGATGTCGAAGGGTTGGTTTTTGGCTGATCAACATGGATGGAAGGTGGTGGATGTGGTGGTGGCGGCACCTACGGGCAATGAGCATACGAAGAGCGGTGAAGGGCTAAGCAAGTGAGAAGATTGATCGGTGGTGTGTCCTCCACCTGAACCGCCGCCTTGGAGCGATCTAGGTGGCATGGTTTGGAAGATTATATTTCAAGAAAACTTGCAGAGAGCTTGGAGTGTTTATCAGTTATTTTTTTTTTATGGTCTTATTTTCATGTTATTTACCAGTATTTAACAACCCCTTCATCAATCCCAAATCCCTAATTAAAACTAGTCACAGTTCATAATTGAAGAATCAACAGAATTGAAAAAGAAAGAATTAATTGTCATTAATTAAAAATATGGAACTTACCAAGAATCCCAAAATATTGATGAACAAGGCTGAAAAGCTCTCTAAATTTCGTGCTAAGCACTCTCTCTAAGCTCCGTAACCTCAAAATAGGGGTTTAGAGACCTTATTTATAGAAAACGGGGAAAAATTAGGATTTTCCAGGGCAGGCATGGCGTGCCTAGCCTCAGTGCCTGCAGAAGAGTCACGTCTCGGGATCAGGCATGTCGTGCCTCCCTACGAGGTGCGACTGTGCCTGCCTGGCAGTAGCTCCAGCGTTGTTTCATTCAGCGGGCACGACGTGCCTGACTTCGGGACCACGGCGTGCCCCCTTCCCTGCCAAATTTGACAATGCGTCCTTAATAAAAGTTGTATATAATAAAGTCCTCTATCCACCACAACTTACAAAACTGGATTTGATTCAGCAAATCAAAAGATATGAATAAAATGGTGGAAGGTCGCATCCTGAAATCTCAACAGCAATCATCTGACTTCCTGGTCTGGTTTCACCTTTCTCCTCTCAGATTATTGTAATGGTGTCTTCATATGATTTGTTGACCTTGACGTTAGCTTGCATATGAAACTTGAATCGTGTACATTGGACGTTTCTACAAAAAGATATGCTTGAACGATTGACAGAAGGTCATCCTGATCGTCGTTTTCAAGCTTTATTCGTCTTCTTTTGATCCTGTAGCCAATTCTAAAACTCTTTTTTTATCAAATCTTCATCTTCAACCTCCCGGTGTCTTCCCAAGCTCTCAAATATCTCTCGAATTCATCTTGACTCGTCCGGATCTCTTCTCATGTGACGAGCACTTTGTCATGGTGCGTCAAAATAATATTCGATACTAACACTTATACGTAGTATAGGTGAAGTAGAGTTCGTATCCACAGGGAAAGAAATAATTCCCTTTTTAGTAAAACTAGTAAATAAGGGGGGTTTTGGGATTGAGTGATTTAATTCAATTAAATACGAAGATGAACGACTTATATGAGATTTAATTCAAAGATAAAAACGACTTGGCATTGCTACTTTCCACTTGTTGATATATTTTAGTCAACCATTGTTATATCTATAACTTATCCCCTCTCGAGTACTCAATCGAAGAGTATATCCAATTCATCTAGGGTAGTTATTAACAACGACCGTTCATTAATAACCCTTACTATTAATCAAATATAGAACAACGCCGTATATCGATTTAATAGTAGCATTTAATATCTTAACTCCTTGATGAAATCAATTGAGATTGATAACCTCAACACAACGGTTTTGGTTTAACCAACAAAATTAATCCCTCTTAAGTTTATTAACCACGACCGTGCATTAATAAACCAAAGATACTTACTTGTAAACCATCAACGATTAACCATCGGTTCGTCGATCGTTTCTAGTAATAATTAATATATGAAACAAAACTAGTTGATCCTTTAAGTAATGTTTAAAATATTAATATGAAATATGAATAGGAATTAACTAATATTCAAGGAAGGATATTAAAGATGATAAATCCTACTATAACTAATGTCAAGATGTTAACTAATTGTCATCTTAGCAACACTCCCCAACATTAATATATAGAGGAAGAAAATAAATACTACTATAACTAATGTCGAGATGTTAACTAATCGTCGTCTTAGCAACACTCCCCAACATTACTATATAGATAGATTAAGGGAATAATTAATATTCAAGGGAAGAAGTTAAAAAAATAACTCACAACTTTAATAATCAACAAGCTTCAAGAGCAACACCAAGAAATGGAAGTTTAGCTCCTCATTTGGAGACTAAACATGCTATAAAAATATAAAAGAAATACTATTCTAAACTGAGCTTAAGAGTATGGAAGAAGGAATAATCAATAGTGAAGAAAAAGTGTGCTATTTATAGGTGTTTTTCAACACCTTGGGCCGGGTACCCGACCGGGTCAAGTGCCCACCCGACCGGGTGCATGTCAAGATCAGATAATCCGCCATGTTCTCATGTTTCTGCACGTCGATTTGTCCCAGGTCATGTCTGACCCGACCGGGTGGCATATGGGACCCGACCGGGTCTGGCAATTTCGTTGCTTCTTCGGTTGTTAAATCTTATCCGACCGGGTGGGGATTTCTACCCGATCGGGTTTTGCTCCTGGGCAGTCAAATTTCTTGTTTTCTTCTCTTCAAAGTCCTCTTTTCCAACACTATAAATCCTAAATCTACTTTACAACTTATAAATGAAGATTAAAATACAATTACAACTAAAATCACACAAATGTTTACAAACTAAATAAAATGATAAACAATACACACAAATCAAACATAAAAACATACACTTATGCACTACTAATTAGTGCATATCATAATGCGTCGGTGTTGGGCTCAAATTCCCAGATTCTGACTCCAAAATTACCAAACTCGAACCAACACCCGGTATAATATGACTTGAGGTAGGAAAACCTTCAAAAGACGATCTCAACACGCATCAAATGCGTGTTGAAATACGGACTTATCAAATTCCCTATAATTAAGCTTTTGCTTCTCCTCAAGCAAAACAGAACAAACAGGGAAAACATACATTAATAAACTAGCTACTGATCAGAAGGACTTGTGAAGACGGTGATAAATGGTGAATGATAATGAATAAACAGTCCCCTTTTTTGAGAGTTTGAAACACCCTAACAAAGACTCGATGTATTCAGGATTTTCAGGGCTATTCTTAGGATTAAGGAGTTCAGATCAGTAAGATACAAATTAGGAATAATCATCTAAACCTATGCAAAGAGTAGACATGATGTACAACTAAGCTAAATCGTCGCTGCACAATATTGGTGCTTTGACGTATACTTGAAGTACGCAAAGGACTTGTGCAAATTTTGCAAAAGCCTCCAAGTTCATTTAATTCAGATCAGTTTTCCTTGTCATGTTGTCTCAAGAACGCCATTTTTTTAAAGATCCCGGAGTCTCATCTTATTGTGCAAAGAACTAACGCTTTTTGACTGGGTCCCCATTCTCTTTTTCGCAAGGTAAGAGGTAGGGCTGGACTCGGTTCGGGCCGGGCCCGGTTCAGGCCTTGAACAGGCCGGGCCTCGGTTCACCAAAAGGAGGGCCCGGGCCCGAACCGGACGGTGACCGGTTCCGGGCCAGACCGGGCCGGTTCCGGGCCGATTCACCCGCCCCATTTTTTTTTTTTTTTTGATTTTTTGGCTTCTTTTATTTAACCCCCTACCCCTCCCCCTCAACCCCAAACCACCCCAAACCACCTTAAATGGCCCAAAATACCTAATCCAACCCAAAAATAAAAAAAAAAAATTCAAAAAAAAAAAAAAAAAAATTATTCCGGCCCGGACCGGGCCTGAACCGGCCGGGCCGGTTCACCAAATGGAGGGCCCGGGCCCGGAACCGGTATCCACCGGGCCGGTTCGACCCGAACCGCCGGTGGACCGGGCCGGGCCGGTTCACACAGTAACCGGGCCGGGCCGGTTCCGGGCCGGGCCGGTTCCGGTTCGGGCCGCCCGGACTGAGTCCAGCACTAGTAAGAGGTCTAGCTATTATTATTATTTTTATTTTTTATTTTCATTAGACATTACCTCATTCTAATCTAGGCCTCATAATGGAAAATTAGC